ATTCATTCCGACGAGGACACTAGAGCGCTCCGAGATTTGAATAGACTGATGCAGTGGTCGGACGAGTGGCAGATGCAGTTTAATATAGATGAATGCAAAGTTCTAAATGTTGGACAGGAAAATAACCATGCCACACAAACTAAACAATGTAGATCTTAACGTTACGGATTGCGAAAAACATTTGCGAGTTCTGGTTAGCGGTAATCCAAAACTGAGACAACAGTGCATAAGTGTTTGCAATAAAGCTAACAGAATCCTTGGCTTCATATCGAGAAGCGTAAATAATACGAGTCCTCGGGTTGTTCTTCAACTCTATATATCCTTGGTTAGGCCTCATTTAGATTATGCTGCACAGTTTTGGTCACCGTATTACAGAATGCTTAGATTCCACTCGCACGACAGGAAAAAAGACTTAATTATTGCATCTATTAAAGAAAGAGGTATACATAAACGAGTGTCTCGCCAAAAAACGTCAGAACCTCCTGTATAGAGTCGGAAAACTTGAGCGGGAAAATAATGACACAATACACCAACGCTTCACACGGGATGGGAAAATTCTACTTGGGAAAACAAATGTAGGCCAACTGTACACAATCACGGACGAGAACGATCTATCGCGATTTCTCGGGGTTGGACAATGTCCGACCTAAAAGCCTACGTGTAGTGTATGTTTTGCTCCATTATTGTACAAATTTCACAGTACAATCTCTTAGGAATAATCAAAAAATCAACTACCTCGGTAATGTGACTTTACTAGTAAGCATAAGTCACCTTATATTACATAATTTTCTTAATTACTACTATTGATTGCTTAAATATTTGCTTCATTAATACTTTCTTGTCCATATTACAACCTCATATTTCTTTAAATACTATTAATTGCTATTACTTACCAAATTTATTATCAAATACCATTTTTACTATCAGTACAATTTACTCTTAACATTTTTGACATTATTTTAATTACCATTACTTGTCTAATTACCATAACCTGTTTTAATACCACATTTACTATCTTAGAGTAGTTCCTTACTCTTAAATACCTTGTACTGCCAATTAACCTCTAGTATAACTACCAGTACAATAATAACCTCTAGTATAACTACCAGTGCAATAATAACCTCTAGTATAACTACCAGTACAATAATAACCTCTAGTATAACTACCAGTTCTCCATGGGGAAGTGGAACAGAATTCTTCCTCCGTAAGCTATGCGTGTTGTAAGAGGCGACTAAAATGCCAGGAGCAAGGGGCTAGTAACCCCTTCTCCTGTATATATTACTAAATATGAAAGGAGAAACTTTTGTTTTTCCTTTTGGGCCACCCCACCTCGGTGGGATACGGCTGGTGTGTTGAAAGAAGAAAGAATAACTACCAGTACAATAATAACCTCTAGTATAACTACCAGTACAATAATAACCTCTAGTATAACTACCAGTACAATAATAACCTCTAGTATAACTACCAGTACAATAATATTGAGTCCAAATAACTCTTCTTAAAATTTAGTACTTGAAATAAACATTTATTTTTATTTTTATTAATATTTTTTGTAATCATTATTACTTACTCAAATTTTATTAAACACTATACAGTGGACCCCCGGTTAACGATATTTTTTCACTCCAGAAGTATGTTCAGGTGCCAGTACTGACCGAATTTGTTCCCATAAGAAATATTGTGAAGTAGATTAGTCCATTTCAGACCCCCAAACATACACGTACAAACGCACTTACATAAATACACTTACATAACTGGTCGCATTCGGAGGTAATCGTTATGCGGGGTCCACTGTATTTACTACCAGTCAATTTTACTTTACTTTTGTACATTAATCATTATTTTACACTTTTCTTAACCTTTTGTTGCCAAATTTTCAAGTTTGTATATTCACCTCCAACCTTTATATTATCCTTTGTACCATCTTACTATCATATTATAAACAAGTCATTGCCATTTTTATTTATTTTTTTATTCTTTTGGCACATTAATTTGTGCATTTTATCTTGTCAATTTTAATCTAGTTATACTCTTGTTCTTGTTAACAACTTATATTAGACCCTAATGCAATTGCAAGTGAGAATCTTGTACCATTTTAATTTGTATTTTTATTAGTTTATACCTAGTTGTACTTTAGCTCATTCTAGCTCAATACATAGACAACAGCAAATTCATTATATTAGACCTTAGTGCAATTACAAGAGTGAGTCTGGTGCTATTTGTAATTTGTATTTTTATAATATTAGTTTATACTTAGTTGTACTTTAGCTCATTCTACCACAACACATAGACAATATCAACTGCATTATGTTTATTAGTGACTATACTCTATATGACCAAAGTGCTTTAGCTATATACTTGTCCAAACTTCACACTACTACAGATACCAGTATTAGAACTCGCCGCACAATACGGGATATAAAGAACCGCTATTTAAACCTAAAAGATGAGCGATCGCATCGACCCTGATCTAAACCTCCGTAATCTAATGCACAATCCAAACTTATTGGAGAGTAACTGCCTTTATTACACAGCATCACAAGCCAGAACTATCCTAAACACTGCTCAAAGTCTATCAGTTCTTAACTACAACATCAGGTCCCTAAGCAAACACTATGATGACCTCCTGGCACTCCTTGAGTTGCTAAAGACACCCTTCTCCTGCATTATTCTTACTGAGACCTGGCTTAAGCAGGACACAATAAATATCTACCCTCTACCAGGATACACAGCAATCCACAACTGTAGACCATACCAAGTTGGGGGTAGTATTGCAATCTATTACTCTAATCAACTATCTTGTATTAGCACCGCTTGCTTTAGTGATGAATGTGGAGAATACATTTTTGCTAATTTTACTGTAAAAAACCTTAAGACGCCTATAACAATCAGTGCCATTTACCGGATACCCCGCACAAACATCCCAAATTTCAGTGAGAATCTAAAGGCATTAATAACAAACAAACAAATGAACAAGCACCACCTTCTCTTAGCTGGAGACTTCAATATCAACCTTGGCCTACCAGATGATCAGCCTGTAACTGATTTCGTCAATAATACGAACAACACACTTCTCGTACCGACAATAACTAAACCAACCAGGCTGACTGAGACGAGTGCAACCATAATAGACCACATATGGACCAATATACTAGCCCCCCTTAAATCAGGGATAATCACAGACAGCACTACAGACCACCACCCAACCTTCCTCTTAACAAACATTAGTGAGCCGCCGCCGTCACCACTCGAATACAACAGTTTCATTTAGACTCCGTGACGAGGCCTCAAGAAGGAATTTAACAGCAGACCTAGAGACTGTTGACTGGCCTACAGAATTCTCCAATGCCAATGGTATTGACGATTGAACAGACATTTTGACTCAAGAAATCGTAATGACACGATTGCAAACAAACCATACCCCCGGCCGGGATTGAACCCGCGGTCATAGAGTCTCAAAACTCCAGCCCGGGCTGGAGTTTTGAGACTCTATGACCGCGGGTTCAATCCCGGCCGGGGGTATGGTTTGAACAGACATTTTACTTAACAAAATACTTAGACTATACGACAAACATTGTCCTATAAAAACGAAACACATCACGAATAAATGGCTCGGTTGCCCATGGCTAACCAGCAGCATTCTGAAATCCATTGATAAGAAACACCAATATGAAAAGCAATATAGACAGGGCTTATTACACAAAGATATTCTCAAACAATATTCATCAGTTCTCACCAAATTAATAAAACTCTAGAACTGCAGACACATTCATCACTTTCAAAACTACAGTTAGAAAACATCTCGTCTCCCTGATACACCACGTCAACTAACTACATGAAAACCACTTGGTGGTTCACACTTACACTCGCTCACCCATTGACTATAAACACAGAAATACGAATCTTAATCTTAAAATAATGAATCCTAACTAGTCATAAGTTTGCCTGTGATACTCCAATATAGACACTATGTATTGTGCCAAAACAAAAGCATTCACATTGCTAAACTCACAAACTATAATGTAGTCACTTAGCCTTAATACCATAATCTGTAATAATTTAAAGTTAAGAATTAATCCAAGTCTGCCTGAAATGCCTAGCCATGCTAGGTGTCCTAGTGGCCCCCTCTGTAATTAGTATTTTAAAACATGTAAATCACACAATATCCAAAATCCATAGACCCTGCATTGTAATCCTTATAGAGAATACACTTGATTGATTGACTGAATGCATATAAATGCTCTGGAAAACATACAGAGGAGGATGACAAAGTTGATCCCATGGATCAGAAATCTTCCCTATGAGCACAGACTGAGGGCTCTGAATCTGCACTCTCTAGAAAGGCATAGAACCAGGGGGGGACATGATTGAGGTGTATAAATGGAAGACAGGAGTAAATAAAGGGGATGTAAATAAAGTGCTCAAAGTGTCTAGCCTGGATGGGACTTGAAGCAATGGTTTTAAGTTGGATAAATCCAGATTCAGGAAGGATATAGGAAAGCACTGGTTTGGTAATAGAGTTGTGGATGAGTGGAACAAACTCCCAAGTACAGTTATAGAGGCTAAAAAGTTGTGTAGTTTTAAAAATACGTTAGATGAATACACAGGTGGGTGTGAGCTACACCTGATTAGCTTGTACTACTAGGTCAGTTGCCATGTTCCTTGGGTGAATGTGACCCAACCTGACTAGGTTGGGACATTGGCTTAAGCCGGTAGGAGACTTGGACCTGCCTTGCATGGGCCAGTAGGCCTGCTGCAGTGCTCCTTCTTTCTTATGTTCTTATTATTTATACAATTATTACAACATTGCATAAAAGTAAATACATAATCTATTTTTTGGCATGAATAAAAATTCATTATGTGAGTAAAAAATCAAAATACAATTCATTTGTAAAGCCTGAAAATGTAACTAATAAACAGAGGAAATGTTTGTTAGTTTAGTATCAGGAAAATTATTCAAAGATACTAGGAAATACTATACAAGTCACTGTTTACTTAACTCTGATATGTAGAGATTGTGCAACAAAGCACACATGTGCAGTACACTGTGGAATGCACAACAGGTGTGCTTCGACTTCCAGATAGCGGGTTGGTAGTACTGATGATAATATCTTGGTAGAATGGCACTTTTGACTGCTGGAGCTTCTTTGGCCTCTTCTATAGTATTAAAATAATGGGAACAGCATGGAGAAGCACAAAACTCTGCAGGAAACTCTGCAGATATGGGAGATATCAGTGAAACACAGAAAAATGGTTGGTTTGTTTGCAATAGTGTCATTACAGTTGTACAGTGCACTCCAGAAAAAACTATATTCATTGATTTACTTTTGATACAGGTGTTGCTCAACATCAAATTGTCTCTATAGTATAAGAAGCAATTCCCTCAAACTGCAATGTGTACACAAATGAAGCAAACTCTTCCCACACACAAGTGTCCTTGGCCCTCTTCATTGACATAAATGACCTATCACAACTACTCAGACCGACACTGTTTTCTTCGGTCGTGCTAGCCAATACCAAATTACAGAAAATCTACTCTAAATATTGACAAAACCTACTTGATACAGTTTGGAAACACACATGCCCCTCTTAACATCACAAAGCTCACAGAGGGAAAATTCTTATGAATCCACCTTGATAAATAGACTCAAATTTCAAACACATTTCAAAGAAAATCTCAAAGGCATACTATCCAACATACAGTCACCCCTCTGTATCACTCACTCGTTTATCTCGCCTACGGAATTTGTGCACGAGGCTCAATGACAATAGAGCATCTCAGACCGTTAATTACCCAACAAAATGTTCCAGTCACAATGACAACAAATTCCCACTAGAGACACCAAAACTTATTCACCGTACAAAACATCCATACTTATTATTGTACCTACATACAAAACTCCAATATAAAGCCTCCCCTCAAACTACTACTACTCCTCCTTACCAACCTTAACACAAGGCACATCACTCTTTCATGTTCCTCATGTCCATCTCACACTGTACAAACGCAATGCACACAAGAGGCCCAAAAATCTGCATTTCATTACCTGTGAATTTATTTATTTATTTATTATTAATTTGAACATAAGTGCAGCATGCCAAAGCCCCTTGTATTCAGAGCATTATGGGCAGGCTTAAAATTAACTTAAGATTAACTAAGCATTCCTAAACATTATTGTAAACAGATAACAATTAAGCTCTAGTGAGTATTACAAAGACAGGTCATATGGTTGCATACATTGCTGTACATTCAGTAGAATGGAGTATTCTGTTAGGTAATGTAATTAAAAAAATAACAAAGTTTGATTGGGTCTTAGGTTTAATATTTTTGTGATACAATTATGAGATAAGATAAGATAAGATTTCGTTCAAATTTTTAACCCCGGAGGGTTAGCCACCCAGGATAACCCAAGAAAGTCAGTGCGTCATCGAGGACTGTCTAACTTATTTCCATTGGGGTCCTTAATCTTGTCCCCCAGAATGCGACCCACACCAGTCGACTAACACCCAGGTACCTATTTGCTGCTAGGTGAACAGGACAACAGGTGTAAGGAAACGTGTCAAAATGTCTCCACCCGCCGGGAATCGAACCCGGGCCCTCCGTGTGTGAAGCGGGAGCTTTAGCCACCAGGCCACCGGGCCTTTATTTAGTTGTGGGTGAGTAAGTGAATTTTGAGAAGAGACTTGAATTTATAAACAGATAATGTTTCTTTTATATTCATAGGTAATGAATTCCAGATTTTAGGGCCTTTTATGTGCATTGAGTTTTTGCATAGCATGCGATGGACACGAGAAACATCGAAGAGTGATCTGTGCCTTGTGTTATGGCCATGTGTTCTGTTGAGGTTGGTAAGAAGACGTTTGAGGGGAGGATTTATATCAGAGTTAAGTTAATTAGTTAACTTAAGTTTATCAGAGTTAAGTGTCTGTGTGCTTATCAATTCGAAACTCTTCTTAAAAACCACTTACTCACCCACAACTCAATAAATACTCATTAACTCTATCTTATAACCCTATCAAACTATCAGTGCTCACTAACTCATCAAAAGTGCTACAAATTTGTACAACTATAAATCCTCCTATTTCAAATACTCATTTATTCTTCATGTTGTATACTGTATTTTTACCACTCAATATATTTCATTGCTTACTTAAAAGTTATTTTTAAGCCTGCCCACAATGCTCTGCATACATGGAAGGGGAGCTTTCGGCATGTACACTCAACCACTCTACTATTTCTTTTGTACAACTATGTACTATCATGTCCAAATAATAATCAATAAATCAAATAAATTGCTTTCAGGAATGCAAGTCAAAATTGACCTCAAACTAGAATTAAATGTTCCATTTCTCGTAATCCACACAAATTACATCGTCTAGTGCACATCAAACTTTTAACTGTCCAAACTGGCCTGACATTACCTCGTCACTATAAAACGAGTGTGCACAGTACTAAAAACCTATGACAACAAGTACCTTGTCGGAGCACCACCTACAGCAAAGCAATCATGTCATCTAACTCCCCTTTTAAAAAATAAGTCATGTTGAACCAAAATACAGTGAACCCTCGACTAATGATATTAACTGGTACCCGAGAACGATTATCGTTAGTCGAGTTTTTTTAACGTTAGTCGAGGCAACATGTTAGCGTTAACGTATCATTGGTCAAATTTAACAGTAGTCGATGCCATCGTTGGTCGAGGATCCACTGTATTTTACTAGTGCCTTTTCAGATGACATGGCCACAAGTGATCAAAGAAATATCAAAAACCTCCATAATAACCCATGTGTTTTCATTTTTTTATACAACTGCTATTGTCATCCTGCCACAATGTCCTCATGCCCTAATTAAAAACAATTGTGCAACATGTGTAATATGTATCTGTCAGACAAGCTGCCTGGCTGACTGACTTTCTTTCTCAAAGGTACAGTTATAGTGTAAATTACCTAGGATAACCAAAAAAACCAGTACTGTGCTTGCACATATAATAAGCATGACTGACTGACTGGCAAGTAATACACTTCATCAGCAATCAAACAGGACTGCATTATCCATAACAACTGTTACTTCATAACCTCCTCCAACACACACATACAGTCAGACAAAACATTACCAGACAGCTACACACTATGTGTAACAGTCCAAACAAAGCCAGGGTTTCCCTGCAGAAATGCACCATCATCAAGTGTCAAACCACTGCTTTACTATCTGTCATCAGCAGTTTAGTGACTGACTTGACTGACTGACACTGTCTTACACCATGCTTCAACAAGTTTCGTATATACTCAGTATCTAAAACATTGTTGGGACCTATACTTTCTATAGAGTTCTAGACAACAGTACATGACCAAGGCAGGTCAAAATGTTCGCCTGTCACTGTCTTTGTCAATGAGTACAATTTCACTACCTAATATTAGTGTCACAATAAACACTGCCTATTAAATCACAACTACTATAAATTATAATGATCAAAACAAAAATTATTTCAAATTTAAAAATAACACAAAAAAAAAAATTAATACACCAATCACCAGCACTTTTCCAAACAGCACAACTCCACATTGCCATCACGTTAGCATCCACCACCTACTTCGTGGCCTTGTATCCCACTAAGTACTGATCCTGACTGCTTTGTGTCAGCAAGAACCCTGCCTCATGTGTTTCTTCAATTCTATTGTGTTTCTCACCTCCTTTCTTTTGGACCATGCTCGCTTATTTAGTAGCAATTGCAAGCATAAAAAAACAATGCACTATTACAAAATTTCTCGTATCGACGTCGTGTGGTTGCTCGCCGATACGCAGTGCCGCACTGACTGGGAATGGAGTGTGGACCACCTCTGTGTGCGCACACATGCCAGGAGATTGCTCGTATGAGTCCAAACTGGCGACAATTTGTCGGGCAGATGACAATCCATGAGGCGTTATTTTGACGAAAAAAATTACGATCCGTGAAGATTACAAAGAGCAAGGCTTACAATATTCGAGGGTCCAGTGATAATTACAATTTATACTACTACTTCTCATTTCACAGCCAATCTTTCTCCTGACACTAATATTAGGTACTCAAATAGTACTCAGTCACAAACACACCAACAAACAGGTCGACATTTTCACCTGCCTTCATCATTTACTATTGTCTGTAAATATATACAAACTATTTATTTATACATCTCAGCAACATTTTAAACACGCTCAACTATATATCAAACTCGTGCAACATGAAATGCCACTAAACCGCTGACACTGAAGCACTCCAGTGATACTTGATGATCGTGCACTACTTCAGGGAACCCTGCCTTTTATTTCTTTCCACTGTTGTACACAAACATGTCTGCCTGTCTGTCTGTCTGTCTGCCTGTGTATCTCTTTCACTCTCCTTGTCTCTCTATCTCAGGCAGCAGCTCATACACCAACAGGTATTACACACAATGCACTTGTAAAGTAAAAGGACACAAGTGCAACTAATGTAACATTTTATTGTGGCAACGTTTCACTCTCCAGGAGCTTAGTCAAGCTTGACAAAGCTCCTGGAGAGCGAAACGTTGCCACAATATGTCACATTAGTTGCACTTGTGTCCTTTTACTTTACATATTGTTGGTAATTCTACCAACATTATTACACAATGCACTTGTCACATCTCCTTCATCATCAAGTGAAAATATATATATTACTTGCCACTGACTTGCCAGTCATGTTTATTATGTCTTATATCTACAAACACTATATAGCGCTTTGCCTAGAATTTTTGGGTTATCCCAGGTAATTTACACTATGTATAATAACTGAACTGTACATACTTATGTGTACATGTGACAAACAGATGGACATAGACAGAGATATAGACAGACAGCCAAAATCAATCAGTCAATCAATCAGTCAGTCAGTCAGCCAGCCAGCCTACCAAATACATATTACACATTCCAGAACCATTTCTCTATAATTTAGGTATACATTATACAACATTCTCGCTGGATGACACCACCAGTGCTATCAAAAATGAAACCATATTGCACAAATGTTACACATGGGTTATTATCCATCTTTATAATATTTTCACCACTTGTGGCCACATCCATCACTATCCTCTTAAAAGTCTTTTTTTATTTTCTATAATTATAAGGCAGTGATTCAACTCTGGGATAACAACTTTACTGTACATTTCCTTGTAAGAAACTGAAATGAAAATCTATGACAAATCATTCGACTTGAGAA